AAACGGTTCTTAACATGACCCAGACTTATCTTGTGCAAAAATAGATATCTCGCACAATGTTTGTTGTAACAATTAGTCGATGGTTTTGAGGGGAAAACTCATTTTTCGATTACCTTGCAATGGTCGGTTGTGAATTAGGCTTAAGTGCAAAATTCGTAAGTTTATCTGTATACGGTCGAGTGTGGATAATCTAGTTGTGATAAAGTCTAATTTCAAAGGCAAAATGCCACGTTTGTGAATCGAAAAAAACCGTGTCACTTCTTCGCAACAAACTCGTACATTTTACATGACATGGATTAAAGCATCAGAAACTTGACACCAATTCCGGCCTAAGCTTTTAAGTATGTAATTACCCAAAAGAATGAACCAAAATGCATTTCAAATTCACTTATTCGACATTTTCTCCAGGGCGTACATTAAATCCATTTGTCTTTGATATCAGTAATAATATGTTTCGAATGCGATAATATGCTTTAATCATCACACAATGACACACAAAAACATGTGCGAAAAATACGGCTTGCAATCCATAGTAGGCTACTAGTGGCAAACGAAAATAATGAAATGACGATGATAATGACAACCCAACACAGATAGTGGGTTGCAATCCACTATTCTGATAAATGTGCGTTGAAACGGTAAATTCATAAGCTACCACATGCACACAAATCGCCTTAAATGCGAATTAATGTTGAACGTTCGTTAACAAGTGGGTCGCATGAAATTTCCACTCTTTAATTCGGCAATACGGTGTAGCACAGCAAATGGGTATGTGTGCCTGTCTGCTGGGCTCTGGCAAAAACTAGAACATGACGAAAACTGCAAACGATTAATTTGGGACTTAGAAGATTTTTCCAGTGATTAACGCAACACAAATTTATTACAGTCTGGCCATTACCAGCACAAATGAATTTCTCACGTGAACAATGAATGCACATGGTGATTTGCTCCAAACCGAACATTTTCTGTCTGCTTCAGGGTTTCGTGAATATTTTCCATTTTGGTCAATTTGTTGTCGTGTGACATTTTGTATGTGTTGTCGGGATTATGTTATAAATCAACGAGTTTAAGGATAAAGTAAAAAGCAATGGGAGGCAATTTTTCGTGGAATTAAATGTAATAAAAATTATTTTACGATAGTAAATTCGGCCGTAATTTTAAACGAAAACAAAAAAGGGAAGAATGATGCACCACCGCATGATGTACGCTTTTTAGTGGTCAAACAATAAGTGCATGCAGAATGGAAGCTGTGTGTCCACAACATGTCCTTGCGTTTGTCAAGTTGCCAAATGTATTTAAATCGAAAGAAAGAAAAAAAACGGTTCTTATGATGGTTTTTCGTGCGATCGATGGCGACGTATTCATTTATTTTTATGATTCTCCTACGACTCATGTTCGCAACCACTCATTCTATTCAATGCACATATGCAATCCACAGCGGAGTGCCACACGAGTGCCATTACATTTTACATCAACGTTATTTGTTGACACATGGTAACCAACGCAAACAACATTGCATCCAACACTAATTGCAAACAAATTCATTCGGACTCTCACTTTGCAACTTTTGTTCTCTCACATATGTGCAGCGCACAATTGTAATATGTATAAAAAAAGGAAGAAGAATGGAACACAAAATTATCGCAGCAATTTATCTTCATTTGTTAAACGAGCGCGCTAAATACGGCCGACAGACGCTACGAATATATTCGAAATGCACTTCGATACTTGATTTTCTTCGTTGGTAAACAAAAACACCATTAAAAAGAATACACAGAGAGGATTGGCGAGACGGTTGCGATACCATGCAATTGAAGAAATGCATTAATAAAATTGAAAACCAGATTTTCTGCGCACAATAAATCCATCAAATCAGGTTTTCAATTTGAGCACGTGTATGCAATTATAAACATAAGCACCGAATGAAACCACACACTTTCTCATACTCGTCTCTCTCTCTCTGCGCCACTGTAAATATTGTAATAATGAGGAGATTTAAATTCGTTTTGTATCCATCACATTTTCATGCTAAATACGATTTGCAAACGACAGAATGGAAGAAAAGACGCACACTTGAATATAAAGTGAACTTTTCTTTATATTTACTTTATCGACACTTACTCGATTGCAACATTTTCGTTCATTTATTCGTGTTTATACACACAACGGAATGCAACACATTGGCGATAGACTTGGGGCAACGCGTCATTTCTCGCGGAGCACTTCTCTTCTTTGCGAACATAGATTAAAAATTCATTTACATGAGTTAATATTTGACATCGTTCAATTCCATCGACACCATTAAAAAAAGCTGCTGAGCATAATTTTCTAATTACTCTGGTCCGGACATTGAAATATATTCGCCAGAAATATTTTTATACTGTGGATGCAAATGGAAATGCGAGTATGAGAATGAAAATTGAGACTAAAATATGGTAATCTGTGCAATAATGGAAACCGTCTGAAAATCTGACCGACAATGAAACGACATTCCCAATTATTTAACGCATAATTGACAATGTTTGTAATGGAGAGTTTCAGAGAAAAAAACGACCCGAAACGTTTGGCAAAATTGTGAAAGAGTGAAGAAAAAAATGTTGTAGAAAAGTTATAAAATGTTTTCTACCAAAGTTTACAAACAATTTGATTGTCGCACGTGTCTTTACTGCCATTTTATTACCAGTTTTCTTTTTTCGTGTTTAGCTCCATTACATTTTAATGATGGACAGCCAGAAAAAGAATCCAATCAATGACTGGTCAATTTTCATGCGTTTCTACTGAAAATGGTCGTATTTATATCGATTTTCGATTATATTTTGGTCAAAATTGAAACATAATATTCCTGTTGACGAAATCATCGTATCTTTTTTATAAAAACAAAGTTCATGTTTTTTGTTGCACGTTCATTTTGCGTCGTACCACATTTTTGGTGTCGCCTTAAACCACCCGATAAATTCCAAAGAAAAAAATCACAAAAACACAATGAATGATAAAGTTGGAAAAGTAATAATTTGAACGTCAACCAATGTCTTTACCAGCGAAAGCGATACCGAGCAAGTGTGGAAGAGAATGAAGAAGGCAAGCATATTGCTTACTATATCACGAAAATTGAATCAAAACAATACGAGAATTGTAGCTTACGGCACAAAGTAAATTAGAAAAATGACATTTAACGTAAAAACATCCTCTTGTTGTGTTTACTATACGCTCGTTTAAAAGTAAACTTGATACATTGAAAAAGTACAAAAGAAAACATATCGTGGATAAAAAGCAGAAAGAGAAAATAAAAGCACGCGGAACACCTTGCCATTGTAAGAGAAACTTGTTCAATTATGAACAATCACACAACAGACGAAAACAAGAATATACTGGAAAAAATGTTATTAAAAAATTTGTTCGGATGATTTTTACTGGTTTTTTTCATGTTTTCTTTTTCAAGTGGGATATACAGAACTTGTTTACAGTTGAGAGATTGCTAATATTTGAATTGACTACAGTCAGTTTAGCATTTTGCTTTTTTTCTCTCTCACGAAATTCACAATCGCCTGAGCATTTGAACATTTCACAGTTTTTTTCTCGGTACAATGTGTGCAAATGTTTCGTGGAAAAACGAATGGTATTTTTTTCCATTTGAAGGTCATCGTTTTTCGTTGAGTACGATTTCTCTCTGCGTATTTTTGTTTGTTTCGCTTGGTTTAATTCAGGATCAGCACAAATATCGTGAACTTTTCCAACGGCACGAAAAACCATATGATTTCTTAATGAATAACTCCGAAAGCATTGCAACAACTTCATTATTCATCGCGATTTTATGTTTATGGCAAAAACCTTTTTGCATGCGACCGCAAATTCAAATCGAATAAAAAAAAATCGGAAGTCGATTGAAAATCCCTTAACTTGAACCATTTTTATTATAATATTGTCTTGATTATCAAAATAAATGCAATGCCGAACCGAATTTATGTGCTTTAATTTAAGTTTGAAATGAAAAATGTTCGCAATTGAAATTGAAAGTAGGTCTCTGCAAAAGAATCAGCTGACATAAACAGGCAACCAGCGCAAAAATACTTGAAATTCAAACGAAATTGTTTTTATGCGATTTAGGTTGTGACTGGTTTATGATTTATGGCATTAGTCGATATTCGTGCTTCGGAATATTTCGACAAGAGGTGCTAAAAATACACAATACGAGCACGGTACCTCAATACACGTTTTGCCATAAATCATATATTCTATCTTTAAAAAAAACATGAAATTTCCGCGATTTAATGCTCAATGATGCGAGAAAATATGCATTACGTACAATTGACCGGACAGAAATAAGCAACGATTTTCTTTTATGCATAATCAATCATAACAAAAAACTAATCTTTAAATAACATTAAATGACACCTTCTCGTTTCTTTTTAGCGTTGATACTCTTCTTGACACAGGACTGTCACATTTAATTTGCATGCAAATAAAACGACTGGACGACATCAGCAACAGTACACATCAGTGGCGTGCATCATTTTAAAATTGGAGACGAGAGCACAGTTGCCAAGTGGAAAATATACATTTTACATCCGAACGGATAGAGACGAAGAACTCGCGTGGCAAATTTAAAACTCAAACCATATAAATGAAGGAGAGCGAAAAATAGATTATTTATGAAAATTTTAAATTTAAATCGGGAAAATAGATTCGATTAATTAATCACAAATTGGAAATAAAACCATATTAAGAATTAAATGGAAAGTGCTTCGAATGTGCGCATCAAAATCAATGAAAATTTAATAAATTCTTGTAATTTATGGTGCGCATCAACTAAATATAATCGGAAATATAAATCGATCCAAAATAGCCGACAGTTTAATGAAACATAAAATTATCTCAAGCGGCGAATTCAACCATAAAAAAGGTCAAAATAATAAGCTTATCAGTTGTATTCGCGGAAGTGTGTGGGTGTTTTGAAGTTTATTTGGACTAGTTGAGAAATCAATCGTCAAAAATCAGCGCAATTTTATCGAAATCACAATATTCTAATCAGTCATTTTTTTGGTGTTTTTATTATTGTGCCGTCCCGGTATTGCGCCATTGAGAACGAAATTGATTTCGATTTCACCGAATTTGACCTGCCAGAAATCAAGTTGATTTTATTTTATCGTAAACAACATCGTGGCAGCAAAGTAAACACAAACTAAATGAGTGTTCAGTCAGTTATTGAGGTCAAATCAAAAACGTTATCGTGTTTTCATTTACGCTTTTCTCCATTCAAAAACCAAGAATCAAAATATGTGAACGATCGCTTCGAATTTTCTGAACAATAAACAAAGTCGAGAAAGAGAGAGAGAGAAAAAACAAAACGCGAACAATTGAAAAACAAAATCAAAGCGAAAACAAAATAAAACTAAAATCAAAAACCATGAACTATAACACAATTTCGCCAGTGTTGCTAACAGTACGAACAATGGCGGCTACTGCGTCCCTGGCAACCAATTCAACAGAATCAGCAGGTGATGCAATTGCAGTATATCCATTCGATAAAAGAGACTCGGACCTGGAAGCGATCATCTCGACCACATCCCAACCGGACTACACATCACCGTATGATCGGTACTCGGAGATTCGTGAAAATGTCGTTTTATGGTCAATAATTGATGGTTTACTATTCATAACAATTGTTTGTGGAAATTGTTTGACCATTGCAGCCGTACAATTGAGCCGACGACTGAGAAGTGTCGTTTCGAATTTATTCATTTTGTCTCTTGCCATATCGGATTTATTGGTCGGTCTCACCATACCGTATCACTTAGCATTTTATTTGGATGTAACATTGGGCGAATCACATTTTGTGTGCATCATGAAATTTTTCTTCAACATTGTTGCGTGCTGCGTTTCCATTTGGAATTTGATTGCGATTGCAATCGATCGATATATAGCCATCGTCTATCCATTACATTACAGCCGCTGGATAACAAAACGTGTGGCAATCACTGTGATCATGTTCGGCTGGATATCGGGCACCCTCTTGGGAGGTATTCCACTTTTTTGGAACAATTTTCACACATCAACCGAATGTGAATTTGACGAAGTTCTACCACCATGGTATATGGCTGGCATTGTGACACCGGTATTCTCATTAATATGGCTATGCATGCTCACGCTTTACTGGCGAATATGGAGAGAAGCATATAAACACGCAAAACAACTACGGGCAAGCATTTCTGGCTTACACGAAGGTGGACATTCTGACTGGAAAAGTGTGCAGGTAAATTATTTCACATTCTTTTTATTCTTTCTTTGTTGCCTCCATTCTTTAAATATACATGTGTAGTGTCAAAAACATTAAAGCGTTCTAAATCATTTTTGAGCGAAACAGCAACAGATGAAAATTATTGCACGAGCACCATTTGTCAAGAAAAAAAAAGAACAACAACTTCCTTTATGTTTTTTGCTTTGGTCATTTTTGACTGCGAAGAAAAATTGCTTTCAAACAAAATGTGTTCGAACACGTTCTACCTCCTGCTGGAAGTAATTGGTTGCGATGCCCATTTTGAATGTGCGCGCGTCTCATGCATAATTTACATGCAACAAAAAAGAAGCACCGAGTTTTGCCAAATGGAGAGCAAATCTGATGATGTCTCGATGTACTCGAGTGTAAATGTTTGAATATAATTCATTTTTGTGTGAATATCATGTACGGTGAAAATTGATTTCATCCGTTTTATAAAGCGGTAAAAGCTTTCGAGGCTGACACATGATTTCATGTATTGAAAGAGTTCGTTATGAATAAAATGAATAAAAACCCATTTCAAATTGCATGTCATTTTCATGTTGTTTCTCGTTACTCTTTCTTTTTTCTAACTACGAACCTTATATTATTTTGAACATCCTTTCTTCGAAAATACCATTATGCTCATTCGGTCTTGCTGTCATTTTTTTTTTATAAACAAGTCATTAAAAAAACCATGTCTATGTCATAACAAGTGAAAGCTTCTCACTTTATTATCGCCAAAATATGTATTCATCGAATGAATTTCGTAACGCACTGTGTGCCAGATAAACAAGAATTACGAATGGACTAACTGATGTACGCACATCAACGATACCATGTGGATGGAGACAATTTGTCCCTAGTGAGAATGTAAACATTTTAATATTTTACCGTTTCTGATGTGGTATCGTCTGTGCGTCGACACCATCATCGTCGATATACGGAGATGAATATTTCAGCAAACATGTTTTGTGTGGCTGACTCTGTTTGTCGTTGACATCCGTCGCCCTCAGCGCGTTGGAAAAGTTATCTGCACTAATGCCACAATAAAATAATTAGAGCAAACTTTCATCGCAAAACTAAAAATAAACATGCCAAACATTAACACCAACGCAAATAAACGCAGCATAGATGAAAAGATAGTGAATATAAGGGCCATTGTTTATGTCAACTATAAACAGAAAACCACAACCGCGCTCTTCAAACAGAAACTAGGTAATGCAAATTGAAATTCGATACGAATTTTCCAGCCGCATTGTTTGACATCATTTTTCTCGTATGGTGAGGTGGCAATAACATGAGCCCCATCAAAACGGGCGTGTATTGCACTAGTACGCAAACACCCGGCTACGCAGTACGCAATACAAAAGTTAAAAAAAGAACTTGACCCACTTGTCGATTGTTTTGCAAAACGACTCCAATAACACCGTCGGCACAAAACGAAATTCATAGAAATACAAATTATATGCGATTTAGATCAAGTGAAAAGTCAATGATTATGACGGGCCGAAGAATCTAGAGCAAAATTGTATTCGGATATTAAGTAAGTCGTTCAATGCTAATGTAACCCGATTAATGAACACGTGGCCAATATCATGAAGTGTAAGGCATACTTTCGATATGACCATTTTCCCAATTTATCGTTCAATCAATAAATACAAAATATTGAAACATTCGACAGCTGCTTAATTTATTATGAATGCATCCTGTCAGATTTATGACACATGTAAATTCTAATTAATAGCCATTCACGATGTGCCAACCATAATACCATGTAGTAGTTGCCAATGGCCAATTTCCTACAATGCAAAAATTGAGATGAATAAATCATCGTGACTTTTTGATCGGAGCCATCGGCTCTGAAGCTGTTGTCAACATCAACTGTTCCACTAATTGGATTTAACATTTGATTGCGCTCGTCGGATGTAATAATAGTCGTAGCCAAATGATTTTCATGTGTTTTTTGGCCATGAATTGTTCATGTGAATAGATATGATGTGAGAGTAAATGATTTTCAGTCAATAATTCCATCATTTTCAATTTATGTTCATAGAAAAACCGCCAAAAAAAGCATTTGCCATGCCAATTAAATGAAAATTCACCAAATTCGCATAATTGATTTGATTTGGCTGTCTTTTTGCGGCTTCTCACCACATTATTAAACGTCATAACAATCACAGGCTTTTTTTCTCTCACTTTAAATGTTAATATTTTTCATGGAAATATATTCGAATTGGCCATGAACTTTCCCATAGACGCATTGCATCGAGATGAATTCAAATAATACGAAATGAATCAATTTTTCGCAGTCAAAACATGTGAGATTATTGACATTCGAAGGATCCTATTGATATTAATAAGAAGACAGACTGTAACGCAATGAAATGTCTATAAATAAATTGAAATGATACCTTATCGATAATGCATTTGTGGTTTATTCAATCCAGAACACACATTGTTGCACATTAAACTATAGTAAATGGAGAACATTTGGGCGAGAGTTTGTCAGAAAATGTATATCAATGTCTAAATATGATACTGTCATTTATTAATGTGATGTGAAATGGCAATTTATACGCATAAAAAGTATTAGAACAATACTTTTTCGTAGCTTTATTCATGGAATGAATCTAAAAATACCATTTTATCCACTTTGATCAAGTGATTTTTGCATCCCGATTGACACAAACAAATATTGCGAATATAGCGTACCACAGAATAAAGAGCTTTTTGACTTATATGCTCTAGTTTTGTTTATATATTTATCTCCATGTGCAAAACTTACTTCCTTTTGGGATCAGTTTTTGAGATGGTAGCATGCGCTCAAGGCCACATACGGAGACACATACGAAAAAGTATGCCGAGCAATGTTAATATACGCATAGCACTCATACCAAAAATAATTTTGAGAATTTGAAGATAAAAAGACACGTGTTTGTACAAAAAGCCAATAAACAAAATGGGATTTCACAGTTCGAAATGTCTCCCCATATCAATATATACACATGAAATGTTCTCTTTTCTTAAAAAAGGTACTTCGCATATCTTCTGATGCGTATTGAATTGAACCAAAAAAGAAAATTGGAATGCGATCTAGACTAAAACATATGACGCGTAAAATCTCAACCAAATTGACATTAATTTTTGTTTTACAAAAGTAATAATGCCAAATTGATTGTAAATCATCTCGTTGTTGTAAACATATTTTTTTGTCAGTTAATTTGTTGGCTCTTATTTCGCTTGATTCTCTATGGTTTGATAAATTGTTTTGGCTACATTTTTATGGTATTATACGAATCTTTTTGCGCATCAAGTGACATAAAAATTTATCGAAACACAAACATACCAATTACATATATATAGAACTCGATGCAACATGTGTTCCTAATTTTGAAAATTTTCTCCAATTCTTTGTATTTCAGGTTGTTATTTTGATTTTGGGATGTTTTACAATCTGTTGGCTACCATATTTTGTCGTCGTATGTTCGCAAATCTTTCACTTTGCGGCAAACAGTTCACCAATTTACTATAAAGCAGCATTTTCATTGGCCATGGGTAAGTTTCATTATTGAAAATCACATTATATAATTGCAAAAAAGAGTATGATTTGAACAATCTTGTAAGCACACAATTAAGCAAATTATTGTTATTTTTCAAATTGCGAGAGTCAAGCGCAATAAGGGCACACTATATAAACGCCATCTATTAATAACCGACTAACTACAATGTAAATCAAACGTATCTGTTTCCCCTTTTTATTTACTCCCTTCCCCTCTCGCTATACTTTTACATTGTAGTTAGTCTGTTTTACAAAGATGTCGTTTCTGTGTAAGATGTGTGACGTCACAATGTTTTTATATGGATAGCGCTCGACTCTCGTCAAATTGTAAGCGATTTCAAAGTGTGTAAGCAATATTTCAATTTTCCATTTCAGCCAATTCCGGAATGAATCCAGTCATCTATGCGTGGAAGAATCGTACATTTCGACGAGCATTCACACATTTATTGCGTTGTCGAACACCCGATTCGCATGCTCTAATCGACGATGAAAATGCACGCCAAAATATGAAACGAAAATCATCATCATTAGCGCCGTCACTATCTGCACCACCACCAACACCGAATAGTGTGATTTCAGCGACGCCACCACCAATCAATTATCCCGACTCTTATCATCATCGTTCTTCATTGCATCGATACCATCATGGATTTACCGCATTTCCTTTGCCACCACCACCACCATCTCCCCAGTCGCCCGTTCAAGAACCAATGGAAACCATTGTCATTGCTCCAAATGTGAAATGCGTTTTCGGTATGTGTGCTTTTTTTCATTTTATGTTAAGAACTTGAAAACGTTTTAAAATGTCATCATATACGAAATTTGTTTATTTACATTCTATTTCATTCTTCATCTCGGACATCTTGAAATAGATTCACCAAACGAAGCGGATACTGACATTGAAAATAACAATGACGAGCAGCTGAACAACCACTTGTACTTGCATCCAAGTATAAATCGTTGGCAATCGTTTAGTAAAAATCATCACATCATCATGGACGATGACATATTGAAGACAGAATTCAAGAATTTCAATAATAATGAATTGTATTTGCATCGTTTGACCACAACCAGTCCGGCTGATTCAGTTGTATCGGCACCATTAACGCCAACCGGAAATTTGATTGTAAATATTCTCGGTAATTTGGAGAACCACTCAAATACAACCAATATAATGAATCGCAAAAACTATCGAAACAGCACGAATTGTGTAATTGGACGAAATTCAATGGACGGAACAAATACACCGATTGCGATACATAATTCAAAGAATAAATTGCCCACTGTTGCGCTCGCCGAACAACGATTTAATGGTCATACAAAAACCATTCCAATTCCGATCACATCGAAAACATCGCCGAATGGTACCGTTCAATGTGTCACCATTTCCATCAACAATAATGATACAATTGGTCAAGGCGACGATCAACATCAACATTATAATTCAATCAAATCAAATAATTTGTACTGTTATCGGGGATATAGTTTGAGCAGCAGTGCACCACAATCGATTAATTTCTGGAGTGGACCAACTTAAATGGATTTTTTTTTTTTGAAAACATACCATCACTAGACACTACAATGAAATAAACTAGTACTAAAACTATACGTACACAGGATCGACTCATGGATTTCTCCAATGAAAAATCGATGGTTTCATTCCATTTTGAATCTGATTATCTCACATGGTGACTGTTCTTTTACACAACAAACAGGTTTCGTAATGATTCGCAGGAAAATCTCCAACACAATGGAATTCTTTTTTGGAAAATCGTCTTAAACAGAACCGAATCAATTCACATTCACTATTTGTTGCATAGATTTTTATTCCAATCAGAAACAGAGTTGAAGCTTTAATAAAACCTGAAGAACGGTCGAGATTCTGAGAGCCAAACCAGTGCTGTGCATCGACATTCATTGATTTATTGGTACAATAAAAATGACTGTATACTGTCGCATACTGTGAATAATGAATGACGTTGCTTGCTTAGCTCTTCGAAAAGTCGAACATTTCTTGGAAAATTGTTGACGCAACACTGAGCTTTTTAGTGTAGCCAAATTGGAAGACGGTGCACAATGACAAATGTAGATAGAAATAGTTAAGAAAATCTTCGAATCGTTTAGATATTTTTTTCCAACGATTTTTTTTTCTCTCTTGCTAGGGTTTTTACAAAATCCACAATGAATAGAATTTATTTTTCTCTTATAAATTTAAATTTTTAATGAGTTAACGGATAAGATGGATAGAATATAGAAAAGAATGTACAACAAAGTTAATTTTTTTTCTGTTCAATGTCAGTATTGTGGTATTTTAAAGCAACATGTTCCTTATAATAAGAAAACTTTTTCAACTATTCCAAATTTAGAACGAACACAAAATTAATGCCATTCAATTATTCTTCCTACTTCGGGCGATTAAACTCGATCTCTTTCAATTTTGCTATCCTAAAAAAAGCACAGACACACACACATAAGTTTAATCTAATTTCAACCGGAAAGAAAGAGTGATTTTTCCATGAAGACGAAGAAAAATTGAATAAAGTTTTCCAGCCAAATTGAACATTCATAACACAGAAGTAGATACATTTTCCGATTAAATATTTATTCATAGTGTGTAAAAGCATTGTATAAGTTTTTACTGTGTAATTCATTTCGAGAATTGTAGAGAAAAAATATATGGGAAAACAGACAACGGCGACTGGGAAATCAAAATAGAATGCACGAGATGTAATTTATTTTAATAAAACTAAGTTTATATGTAAATTACCTGTGATATAATGTTAGATGTTTAGATATATACCGTATAATATGAGGCATTGAATGAAAATGCAGATCAACTCGAACACATTTATGTGAAAATGAATGCATGTAACCATTAAATGAATTAATTTTATGCCATGTAAATGTTACAAATGATAAATTCATCTTCATGTTACCACCACCCTCTCGCTCATTCTCTCTCTTTCTCACACTCACTCAAAATAATATTGAAACAATCTAAATGAAATTCCAATTTTGAGTGTGTGTGTGTTTTTTTTTTCTTTTCAAATACACACAGACCTCATCCACAACAGCATACAGGGCTTGCAGCATATATGCATTTAAGAAGAATTGTTTATTTGATATTGTTCAAGAATGAAAACATTATATCTATTAAGTATTCAATAGTCTGGTCCATTCGAATTTGGTATAAGCCGTATTAATATTGTCAAAGAAAATATACAAATATAAATTGGTATTGTCGTTGATGCACCAAATGTAAAACCATATGCCAAACAAAGAAGATATTTTTGAAGCAAACAAACACAGATAGAAGGAGAGCGAGAGGATTCGAGAGACAGGCAACTTTCGAATTAGCGTCGAATTCCAATGAATCATGTGTGGATAAATAAAAATTTACCAATGGCACACACGCAGAAAATTCATTCAATTTCACAGCAGTGGCAACAACAGAGCTTGTTGCTTTGATTGGCTTGACTGTGATGAAAAATTGATTTGATTTATTGAAGCAAGTACAAATGGAGAGAGTTCTGTGTCAGGAATTTTCCGCTTGATTCAGTATGCAGTTGTGTCGTTTGATTCATATTATCCATTATCAATGTCAAATACACAGAGACACACAGACTGTGCGAACGCACCAATGAACTGTTTGCTTTCGTTTAAAATCCAGTTTCGATGTTGAAATGAAAATTGCACACTCACAATGATTTCCCACAATGTTGTCCATCTCTCCAGACACAAACGAAATTTAGTACCAAATAAAAAAAATCCAAATAGATGTGTATATATGTATGTTAAACAAGAGAAGATAATGTCAACAACAAAATATTGAAAATGTTGTTGAATTTATCGAACCAAAATTTTTATTACTATCTGTGTATAAAAAAAAATTACTATAATATATCAGAATGAGTTTGAAAGGCAGAACGAAGAAGAAACAGCACACAAAAGAAATGGAAAAAACGAATTTCAAGAGATTTGTTATTTGTGATTGTAAAAGTATATTTGTTAGAGGCATGAAAATGATGCACTATTGCATATTGTGAAGGATTTAACCCATGCATACCAAAGAAAAATCGAATTGTTTTTGTGATATGAAAATTGAATGATTATACGAACCAAACAAACAAACATTATGATAATAAAAAAGGCTATTTTAAAAATAAACCAATTACTCGACTTTCTTTCTCATTTTATGCGCACTTGACTGCATAAAAGGCTATATTCGGCGAATAACATTTTATTTTTAGATTTCTTTGCGCGCATTCAATTTCTTCGTAGACGTTGTAGTTTCTACGGTGAATGAAACATTTATAAAGCAAAGAAAACAATAAGGTTGCATTGCGTGAACTTTATAAACAAAAGTTTCAGAGAAAATGCTGCAACTTATAGAAGATTCTGGTTCTTAACCTTATTGATTGTGTATTGATTCCCTTATAATTTTCACGTTGGTTGTGTAGGCGATTTCGTACTGTTTTCCGAGCACTAAATATTAAATGTTTCACTTCGAATTGGATTTTATATAATCTTCTCAATAAAATGGATGAGAGCAACGTTGAGTCATCGATTCGATTAAACGCGCATCGTTCAATAGACAAGGATAATTCACATGATATATGATTACTCTTCATGGAGCGATTAGTGTTTTCGATGGGATTCTTCGATTCAGCAATACAAAAGGAATCTGTTTGCATGTAAACATGGATGCTTGAAAAGTTGGTAGCGGAAAAAATGGAAATTTCCCATAGTAGCCACAGCACATAAAAAAATATTCTGAAGTAATTCAGTTCGATTGACATAAACATAATGTTTGATGAATTTTATCCATTCAGCTCTGTAATCATATTAGCAATCAAATGACATATTGCAAAGAGCGCAAATTATGCGGATGGAAATATGAAGTCATAAAGCAGTTGGCAACAACATCGATGAGCCGGAAAAAGGCGGAAGCAACACATCAAAACCAATAATAAATGAACCAAAATACAATTACCGCCATAACAATAAAGAGGACATTGTATGATGCTTATATGAACAGAACGAAGAACAATGTATCTCACACAATGGTGCAAATACTTTAGGCACACATTCTTTCATTCCGTTCTTTTGCGTAAGTAAGCACACTTAATAAATTTTATGCCTTTGTTCAGCTAATGTGAAGCTTTTCTTTATTTATTCGCACATTTTGTATCATTTTATTGAAATGCCAGTCGATTTTTAATGACAATTTTTATTTTCAACTTTATCGTTGCAAACCATGCGGGATACTAAGCGAAAATAAAACATTACTTTCGGGTATGATTGTCACAAAAATAGCCACATAGATATGAGCTTATTTTAGATCATCAGCATATTTCGGAGAATATGGAAATATCCTGTTTTATTATATTTCATGCAAATATGAACAATGTTACGTCATTTTAATGCGATTGGAATCCAAGATGTACTATATCGTTTTTATCCCAACTTCTGGAAAATATCAAATTCTAAATATAAACAGTCTTTTAGATGTACTCATAGCTATTATCAATTCAGTTTACTCCATGATTTTGTATAATATCAGGGTAAGGCAAATCGATTCACCAAAAAAGACTTTTGAAAACAACGTAATTGAAACAGATATAGAAAGAGTGACTTTTTGTACGAACCCAAAATAGTTTAGTGTTTTTATTTTGGAAAAATAAGTGAAAATAAAGATTGATATGAATTGAAAATAATGTTATTATTTATTTATTTTGAGTAAATAATAAAGTAGTGCCCAAACTTTTGAAGAAGACAATCATAATGTCAATGAAATTTCGTTGACTTCAGTTACCATAGGCCGACAGGTTGTCGTTCACCCTCGTCATTCTGGATATGTTTTATCAACAAAAATCACGACTTTGATGTTTTATTTTATTTGAATTAATTTGAAGAATAACAAAATGAATTGAAGAGCAAAAACGTCTGCTTTCATTCTGATATTGTGACTATATCAAGCAACCAAGGAACATATTTTCAATTAGGTCATATTATTGAAATTGAAACGCCCACCGAAAGCATGCGGAATTTTATTCAAAGATAATAAAATGGAGGGGACATTTTTGTGATTCTTTGGTAATATTATTGCATCATAAGCTTACAATTTGTAAGCCGCACAATTTGAATGGAATTCGTACTTGCTTGATTGATCTCTCAACGAGATTATTTATTCTGGATGAATAAGTTCTAATTGTTCACAGAGAACAGGAGCATTCGAGTGAAATAACTAACGAATACTATGGGGCTTGAGTGGAGTGAGGACATCACATTATACTCAAACTTATTTGGAACAACTACCCATTATCTTATTATTTCTACCCATATCAAAGAATTGAACAAAATCCAAATCAACAGTTTTGTATACTAACCGCACGTGCTTAAATATTAATTACGCATTGACGATATACTTCAAGTGAACGAAAAGATTCTATTCATGAACGAAATATTCCTGTTTTTAATTGTGGTTCCAATACACGTACTCGTTAGTATCACTTATTATTTCAATGTATTTTATATTGCTCCCGATATTTATTTGAATTCGGGATATGTTCAATAGGTATTAATTAGAATAATTTGGTTATCATACGCACAAAAAATATAATTGGAGCAAATCTTACTCTAATAATCATTTGATCGCAAACACGTTCTACTCAAAGCTGTATGCAAATTACTAATAAAGATATTCCCATATTATTAAAAGTATTGAAGTTACGAATTTCTCAATATTTATATTTTATATAGACTTTTATGTTTATCAACTATCTCTCGGAAAATTATCATTTTTTATAAATGTAATAAATGACTCAAAACATACCGAAAAACTCAAAACATACCGTAACAATGTCACGGTTTGGGCAAGTGGCTAAAAACACCCTCACACTTTGTCGAACTGGATTGTCGGAAACTTGTTCATTTTGAAATAGCGTTTACGTAACACAAAATCGAAAAATAATATTATGAAATTTTGTTTTCAAGAAGCATAAATGTATACACATATATAATTTATGAATGAAGAAAATGGTTTCAGCTCTTATTTTTTTAAAACACTGCAATCCTACATTGTTCATTAACTTGCGATGAAAATAAAATAAAAAACAGCCACCATTGTTATGGTAGCTCTGCATTGAATTTATTGCCCTGAAGATACTCCAGTCATTTTTAATACGACAACATTAATTATAAATTGAATCAAAGTGTGTCGAAGTATGGTAAATGTAACATGATGAATATGTGGGGTTGAGTTTGGATGAATAATAACACGCAGGTTTTAATTATGTTCATTTGAGTGGTTGGAGTTGTTTTTGTAACTGAAACGGTTTACGTTAAATACAAACGTGCAGTAAAAACATTGCAACTGTGTGCATCCATTTAACTATCCGTCGGAGTGAGGTTATTGCATTAGTTTGAGTTTGAAAGTTTACAAGTTGTTGCTGAATCGAATCATGTGTGTGCACATACTAACAAATCGTTTGAAACTGGGAACAAAATCAAATAATTGACAGAAAATATGAACTATGCATTAAACTAAAGCCATTTCACCATCATAAGTATAATAAAACTCGGATAAGGATGGCCTACTCAACCCATCTGAAATGGATGACACAGTTTTACACAATAGAAATCTTCCAGCCATTATTTTATCAGCCATGTGCATGTGCATGTTTGCAACTACAATTCTTTCGAAGAGAGATGTAAGCAACGCTATGCACATTAATCAAACGCAATTGAATAAAAAAACGTCCAGTTCTTTTAATCGTCTCCTATTACAGCGTAGATGCAACAACAACAGTAGCAGTGCCCATACCACATTATTTAAAAAAAACCATCAACTATTTTCCGCTATCTGTTGTTCTATGAGATTTTGTTGTTTGTGCGTGGCCGCTCATAAATTCTGTTGGACAGGAAATTGCAGGCGGTTTGTGCGATCGAATGAAATTTATTTTGTAACCACTATCCGAGTGGCACATAGTCAACACATTTTTAGCATTTTTTTTTTGTTCCAAACGACAAATGCGTTATGTTATGAAGTTTCTCGAGAACAGAAGAGCAAAAGAGAGTGAAGAAAAGCAAAACGAGTCGATTGATTGACCCAGTTCATGCGACGACCCATATACAATATAGTGTTAATTAAAGTACATAAATAAAATTGCATTTTTCAGAATTTTTTTTTCATCTCCTTCCACTTTCGCATCCGTTTTATGTGTACTTTGAAGTAGAATTTTATTTGAAATTGCACCGGAGCGGAGATGTGTTTAGCCATTTTCAACGGTAAATTGATTCGAGCAAATTGATAAGCATTTCTTTTTCTGAGTACACTTGAGCTTACATTCATTTCCATTTTGTATAAAGTTTAAATTTGTTTTTCTCTTGCTCTGTTCGAGGGAATTCTGCAACTTAGTTAAGCTGCTAGGGATTTTACTCATTTCAGAATGAATTTGTGTCAGGTGAAGTACGAAAAGAGATTTTTTTTTTCTTTTATGCTGCTTCGTTTGGAGATTTTCAATAAAGCACGTTTTTCGATGATAAAATGAATGCTTGAGAAAAATCATGACTCAAATATTTTTAATTTGAAGAATGAAACATAAGAAAAAAATAACTATGAATGAAATTTGGAAAAAAAAAATATCAATAATTGAAACGTAAAAAAATACCACAAGGATATTTATTTTGTTTCACTCTTGCGTGTTTAAATTTTATGATTCAAATTTGCCTTCATTCGGGATATTTTTTTTATGTTTCAATGGAATTGTTTTCTTATGAATCGATCTTTTGAGTTGTTTCATAAAGTTTCACTCTTTGTAATGCAAATTTTTCTATGTTTCATATTTGAAAATAAGAAATAATTTGAGTCATGATTTTTCTCAACCATTCAAATATACATTCCATATTTTATTTCGGTTTTTTCTTTCTTTTCTTCTCCATTGCTTGCGTGTCTATAGAATTTATTTTTGGCCAACAGTTTTATGTGCGTTCACTATACACCACCGGTTGTCGTGGGACAGTTACACGATGATTAAAACATTACACACACACAAAGATGATATGGAGCATTGTAGTCAAAAAATTTCTATTTGTTCATTTTTATTTCCCAGTTGACAAACATTTGCTGAGAAGAAGAACTCTCCCTCTCTCTTTTTTTCTCTCTCCTCCTGTCTTCTTATGTTTTTCTATCACCATATCCATGTAGTAATATACCGAATTGATGATTGCGTCTCATTTTCTCAAGCTTTAATAATGAATTATAAATTGAGGTTGAGCAAAATGCGATTCATCGGATGCGATGCTGTCCAAACAAAAAAATATCAAGAGCATACGGTATGCGGAGTGAGGGAAGTTGAACAGCAATGGAAAATGCCGACGAAAATGCAATTCAAACTTTATTGCATATATAAAACATCTGTATCGATATTTTCATTTACACTTTGCATAGTAACATCGCAAAAACCTTAACTCTCTCTCTCTCTCTCAGCTGTTGGTATCGCAATGCATAAAGTATGCGACCAATTTTACAATCCACCAGAAATGCTTGGTTAATGGTATGTTTACAGAATCATCTCATAACGAAAGTATACCATTTTTGTGCACGCACACAATGAAATTCGATCAAATTTTCATCGGTATACCGGAAATTTGGAATTTATATTTTATGAAACGAGTGGTTTATGCTCGAGAATCTCAACTTAAGTTTAAACATAGCAACAAAACAGATGCATATCTGATATAACAGTGTTTCTGACATTGTACATAATTCGAAGTGATGGACATTTTGTCAAAACCAACATGGTAACACGTGGCGATAAAATGAAAAAAATTCGGTGAAACTTACCTCAATGCCGGTTACACCAAGTGCTTCTTGTAAATTGGGTGTCATACGAAACGGAACTTTCTCAGGAACACGCAATGTCTTTCCCTTTTCAAAGCACACATTATAGTCAATGTGCAAAATTTCGCCAGTCATCAAGTCAACTGCAACGCACAATCATTGTATTTTAGAAATGGTTTTCGCTTATCAGAGGTCAAAATCAGATAAACAGCTCACTTACCTAGAATATTATCCAAATGTCTATCACCTAGATGATAAAGACGAAAGAAATCGGGAAAGATGAAAAGTTTTCAGGATTAATTGAAAATAACTTTTTTCAGAGTTAAGAAACTACGTAAAGAATCTCTTGAAATTTTTTTTAGTTCTTTTTCTACTGAGGAAAAAAACGTGGAAAACAATTTTTCTTCGAGAAACAAGAAAATAAAATCTGGTTATAGAGACGGAGAAAAGTTTTTTGTGTTTTATTTTGTGCATCAAATTATTAACTGACCTAATCCAATAACGTAACCAATGACACTCATCACAGCCAACGATTGAGCATACTGAAACAAAGAAATACCATCATTTATTTATAGACATTGCTTTTCATTATAATCACTAAGAATATGCTCACATTTCGAATAACTTGACGCCATTCTGCTGCATTTGTACTGTAGCACCTATAACACGCAAAACAAAAGTAAAACACACCTTCACGTTAATTTTGTTCATCATAAAAATAGAAATAACTATGCATTGAATTCAATTAATTCTACGAACCATAATTCTTTTGAAAGTAAGTCTCGTGGCGTTTCAGCTGTACAAAGAGAAAGAAAAGTTGCGAAATATGATTATGAAACGGTTTAATGAGAAAATTATGACAGTGTATACCAGTGAGTTCTGCAAGGACTTCTTTCAGCACTTGTAAAGGCCATTCTTTGCGACTACTTTGCGTTGCCTTAATATTGTGCTTATTCAACAGAGGTGTTAGTTTTTGGAAATACAATTCGGATGGTCGTGGAATTGCTTGCGGTGGTGTATTCTTCGATGTGGTCATTGCATTCGCTGTTGTTGATGGGCTCTTCTCTTTCTTTGGACTTGTTGCTTGGCGTTGTTGCCATTTCTTATACAATGCAAATATTGGTGTCATGCCATCGACCCACGATATAAGACCAGAATGAGCACCGAGAGGCGTAACGGAATAATGTTTTGCTGTAAAAAAAACAATAAAATATTATTTCTTTGCTTAAAACCACAATATGAAAAAATATGCATTTTCACCTCGATATTTCGTTGTTTGTCCAATGGTTGTACGTGTTTTTGACATCATTGAATTGGCAATTGACAAAAATTGCATAATACGTTCATCTAAATGTAAATCTTCCAATCCTTTGAAGAGATAGGTGTGTTTGCGGCCGTCGCTACCATAAAATGCCAACTTTTTCGGTTTGGTCTTGGTCGGAAGAATTTGTACGAAATTGTCAACGGATCGAATATAAATCCATCGATTGTCGCCATCACTTCGGCTGCGATTTTGATGATTTTCAATTCCTGACAAATCGATATTAAAAATAAAGTACATTTAAATTAATAATTGTTAACTTAACTTACCGGGCATTGAAATGACTGTATTCTTCATTTGCGCCAAAACTGGACTAATATCGGCCATTTTGAATTGACACGTTGAACGTTTTTGTGAACGTTGTTGCAGCACCGTGTACAATTGTTTAAATTTGGACCATCCGTCGGGCGATGAGCTGGTAAACTGCAATGGTTCTTTTAGTGAAGTGATTGTTTCTTGAATTGCGGGTGAAAATCGTTCTTGGAATGCCAATTCATTGGCTGTTTCGGCCTTCACCGATGTTGCTTCATTCAAACGCTCCATTACAAATAAAATTGGCCGTATGATTACACGGTATTTTTCGGCAAGTACAGTTCGTTTATTGTCGTCCACTTGTTTCGAATTAGTTTCTTCGGTTGTTAGTTTTGTCAAGTCATTTTCAAGAATTGCCATACGTTTTGCGCATTCAGAATACACTTGTGATAACGATGACAACCACAACTCTTCCCACAACAAGGTGATTCGCTTCAATTCACGCACCATTAGCTGAACCTGTTGCACTTGTTCGGATGCTTGTTTGGACAAAGTGTCCAAAAGTGAATTGAAACACGTAGTTAATGCTGAATTTGGTGTTTGTGTACGATCACCATTCGCTGAGAATGTGGATAAATCGGTGAAATTGACACGTTGTTCTTGAGCAGCACCAACCACCGCTGGGAATATGATTAAATGTGGTGAATCACGGGCAACACGACACAATAGCTCGGACACTCGCTTCCGCACGTATGGTTCGTGATGATTTAAACGCGAAAAAAGTTGCGGAATGATGATCTAGATAAAAAAAGAGTAAATATTCTTTTAAAAAAGTCACTTTCGATTAAAACAATTTAAAGCTCCTTACCTTCCATGGTGATGTGGGTGTTGTTTCCAGTCCATGTTCCAAAACCTCTTGCAAACCCAATGCATGTTTTACAATCAAACGTAGAATTCGTAGGGTTGCCGTTACAACCGAGCAATTTTCATTGGATTTTCCATCGTCGGCGATATTTGTTACATTCACCAAGCCATCATCTTGCATTTGAGTGGCCAATTGAAGATATTTAAAGTATGCTTCGGCTGCCATTTCATAAAAACTATATATATTTCGATTAGCCAATCGCCAAATTTCGATGATTTTCTGAAGCGTTTCTGTAGAACAATCGCTTAAAATGCCAATTTGTCGTAGTTGAGACTCGATTAATTCGGTGGATGAGATGTCATCTGAATTTGATACCACCAATTCTTCATCTTCGGCGCTGACTTTGTGTGAATCAAGTACGTTCGATATGAGATCAATATCGCCGGAGCTTGCATTTGGTATTAAATCTTTTATGCTACACAAATCCGACGGCCGTAAACCGGCTTTTTCATTCTTTTCGGTGCGAAGTTCAACAATCTTTCGGCCCCATCGGTAACACCATCCAGCATATGCACCATAGGATTTGCTCAAATTCGGGCATTGTTGTATACTTTGGCTGAGAAGCTTTCCGACAGCAACATCGATTGGTGATAGAATCGACGACACCTCTTCACCTTCATAATTCAAATTGGCATTTCGCAGCCGAAGAAAGATGTGATCGTCCATTGAGTTGATCAATTTTCCAATTGGTTTATTCGCCGATTCCATTAAAAATTGATCATTTTCCGATTGCAGCCATTCGGCCAGGTTTAAGAAACTTCGTGCAATTCGTTGTTGAATCAATGGTTCCTCCTCTGTACCTTTAATGCACTCCAAACTATTACGAATCGTTATCGAATTGGCAGCGGCAAATTGAATAGCCGTTTCCTTTTTATCGGGGTAGCTATATAGCCACTTGGCCATTTCGTACACACTGCGCACCGTATTTTGATTCCAAATATTCATGTCCCATTGTGGTTCGTCGACACTGTTAATTAATCGTTCACAAATTACATCCAGTTTCGATTCAACGCATCCGATTTGCGGACCAAAATTGATTTTCTCAAAGAATATTTCGAGTTGTTTGCGGCAATGTGTTAAATTTCCCTCTTTTCTCGTCATCGAACAAACATCCAAACGTAAATCGAGATTAATTTGCTCACCAATTTCGGTAACATTATCAAAATACTCGGACCAATTCAAAAGCTTTGTTAAAACCGTCGAACCAAATGATTTATCAACGCACAAACTGTGTGTATTTTCTCGTTCTCCGGTGCGATTTCGATTGGCCACTTTATGACAAATATGATTCATCACCACCAAATTGTTGAGGTGTTCACGTGATTTGGTGCGAAGACACTCTTGCAGGCCACTTTGAACAATCTCAAAACAAGATCTCTCAAGTTCTGTGTTGTAAATATGCTTGTTTTGTGATTCAATGCTCATGTTGCTGATTGTATTTTCCGTCAACGAAATCAGGCGATGATATGAAAAATCATTTGCAATGCCATTCGAATCATTGTTCAGCACTTCCCAGTCGCTCATCTCAAGAATGGCCGCATCGTTTGATTTTTGATATTCGATAAAATTTTCAATTTGATTCGAATTAATCGACAGCAATGGAATGGTTGCCCGCGGTGTATTACGACCTTCTTCAGTTCGAAGGACCTCATACAATTCGTGCCATTCTTGGGAATTTAACAAGCACAACGTAAGCTGATCGAATATAAATTCACGAAAATGAGCATCATGCTTTGGCTCATCTAAATTGGCCAGAATATTTTTGTATCCAGCGGTCGCCGTTTCCAAATGACCATTTGCTTGTTCTGAAACGATAAGAGAAAATTACGTTACATTCGTGACAAAGACAATTCGAAAAAGTGTTAAATTTCAATTTTACCTGCTGCCATTTTAATCCACATGAGTTTCTTTTTTGTTATCGATTTCGTCCATACGAACAGTCCTTCGAGTGCATCGCCTTCTTTATTACGTAGTAAAGCCCATGTATGCGACATCAGCGTGTGTTCAAATAATGGTTCGTTGATTTTACCATTTGACGCCAAATTTTTCAACACACTTTCCGTATATCGAATTACCATTTCTGGTTCCATGCAGTGCAGGGCCACTAGATCGACAGCGGTTCTTATTCGATTAAACCATTCATTGCACGTGGTAGCGTTAACATGGAAAAATGTTCGTGCTGGTTTCTCAGCTGGTGGCAAACAAACGGTTCCTTCGGACGCATTATAAATATATTTTTCCAATGCTTCCATAAAGCCAAGTAAAATACGTGCATGACGTTGATTAGCCAAAATCGTATCAACATTTGGAACTTTGAGTTTATCTTTTAGCGATAAAATTCGAGCATTTTCTTTAATAATCGATTCGATTTTGAGGAATGTTTCTTGTGGTTTTCCCAAGAATGTACGTAATTTATTGTTTACACACGATTGTGCGGTCTCCCATTGTGCCCATGAAATGAGTACACGAACATCGGCCATCGCCACCTTACAAAATTCAGCGATTTCATTGAGTTTCGACTTTGAATGTATGCCAACACATGAATTCTGCGAATGAATAAAAATATTCTTCAAGATTTTCTCAATAATTTCGTATTGATTTGGTTCGGCTTGATTTATGTCAGTTTCACGGATTTTTATGGCGCGTGTAAAATCAACTACGAACCTTGCACGCATTTCAACCCCACGTTGTTGCGTTCTCAAATACCAATGTTGAATGTTGTTTATTTGACGATGCTGTGCCTTTGCCAAGCCAGTAAATTGATTTACTTGCTTTAGTGAGACGTTTAATGGCAATTTTGCAAACAAATCCGCATACTTTTTTCGTATAATCGCATCACTGACGCACATTTTAACACAGCAAATTTCCGCAATGCTTTCCAGTACATCCGAATGCAGTACATCATACGTGAGCAATGCATCAAAACATTCGGCCGCTTTCATTTGAATTTTTTTCATTGCCTGAAATTCACTTGAATATCGACCAATTGATTCGAAAATTTGTAAGAATTCAACGTTATTTTTCAAAATGATCGCATAGTTGGTGGTTTGTTTGAATATATTTTCACACCAATCCAGCAAAATGGCAACGGTATGTTCGGGTAGCGATCGTTGTTTTAGAATTTTACACAAATATTTTAAAATTAACTCAAAATGGCCGGCAGTTGGAGATGATTCGGTATTGGCGGTCTTTTGTACAGGCATATTAAACGAAGAAGCACCCGGTACAAATTCACTGAAGCTACTGTTACTGGCATTATCGTCCATGTTTAATTTGCTAAAAACGTCGGTGATTTTCGTGAGCTCCTCGTTCAACAATGTGCTGGATGCAATAAAATTGTTATTATTACGGCAATGTGAGGTCAACAGGCTAATTATGGCAAAGTGCGTTTCGGGATAATGCGACCAAAACACTTCAAATTCGGCTGATTGTAGGCGTTCGCTAAGTAATTCCAAAATATTTGGCTCTAGCACCCACATAACAATAATCGATGACGATGCTGTGGCCAGTGTCGAGATGGTACGAAGATAAAAGTTCAGAATACATTCGGCCTGCTCTTTTGTATAAACGGCACATTCCATTCTCTCTGCATCCCGCGGCTGAAGTATATCAACGGCTACCATAAGATCGTCAATAATTTGTCCATAGAGTTCTTGTAGTATTTCAACGACTTTCAAATTTAACACGGCTTGATAAATTTTCACAATTGATTTCACAATTTGATTATTTCTCGAGAATTTCATTTGATGAATGACACAGGTGGGTTCGGTGGAGAAAATCGTTTGAATGAATGTGATCGGAACTTCTGATTTTAATTCGGCCACCAATTTGTAAATAACAAATAAAATAATGACAATTTTCTGATCAGATGCACTGGCCGGGCTTAAATTTCTCAATTGTAATTCAACGGTTTCGAGTAGCATTTCCTCGGTACCTTCAATGCCAATTTTTCGGCAATCCAATGCGATTACGATTAATTCATTCACATACATATAAATCACGTCACGTTGATCGAGCGTATAATGCTTTTGCGGTGTACATTCAAATGCCTGAATCATTTCCAAAACACTTCGAAAAATATCGGACAACAAATCAATGCCAATGTGATTGCAAAGAACGGTCGGAGTATCGTAAATACATTTTAAAATTGAATTTGTTGCGCCGACAATGGAACCAAAGCAAATTTCCGGTGTTGGTGTACTACTTGAACTGCCACCCACTGTTGATTCGATGTGACTTTGAATTTCATCTCGATAACTGATTATATCTTCCAAAAATTGATTGAGCAAATTTCGTGTGAAAGCAACATCGTTCAACCAAAACGGTTTAAATTGTTGTAAAATGTATGCACAATGTTGCTTAATCGACAACACTTGATCGGTTTCCAAATGCCATCCGATGACAAAATCAACAATATCGGCAAAATGTGGTTGAAATGCTTTCGGATAATTTTGTGCAAATTGTTGAATTACATTTGTAACGGCAACAAAGTGTGCGGCCTGATCGCTTCCATCCAAATATTCTTTAAGCATTTCAATGATCCGATTGCAATTGTCCATGCGAATGTCATGTGCCATTGAGTCCATTTCGAGTGTTTCTTGTAGTGCTTTTAAAGCATATTCACGAATGCGTTCGTTTTTATGCATCTTTTGAATCCATTGTCGGTAAATCGAAAAATCCGATCGAACAATCCATCCCATTTTACCGAACACGGCAGCCACATCGTTCATTGCATCAATTGGACCATCTTTGAATGTACGCAGAATGTGATCGGCAAGAATATCAAACGATCGACGAATGTAATTCGCATTCGTTCCGTCCATTATAACAATATTCAATTTCATGCAAATTTTACGCGCTTCAACTGCATCCTTTTCCGTACTCAATTGACGTAATAGCTTTGATATGCGCATATCTTCGGGTAAATTGGCCAATAGATTGGTGATTTTATTGGTATTTAATACATCGCCGTTATACGCTTCCGAAAGTGAGGTTATGTCAAGAAGTTCGGATGAACTGTAACGCATATCGTTGTTAGACCATTGTGGCGCCAATAATGTAGAACTGCTGCCACCTTTACCACGATTCCGTGACGAACCACTGTTTGTATTTGATAATACCACAACGCGCCTATTGTTCCCATCTCGGTCTCTGCTGCAAATTCGCACAAACACATTTAAAATCACATTAAATCGTTTCCATTTCATGTAAAATTGATTTTAAAGACAGACACGAGATAAAATACAATCATACCTTCGATTCCGACGACGATCACGGCGTGATGATGAGCCCGAATCCGATCTGGAACTCTTCAAAATCGCCACTCTGTTGCCAACAACATTTGTGTCGCTCATTCTATTTACCGAAATAATACTCTCATTATCATCGTCATCTTCCATAGCTTCACGTTGATCACAATTTATCGAAAACTCTCCGACAAATTCGCTGTCCAATTGTTGATACTTTTGTGGTGTTTATTCGGAATTTAGTTTTAAAAGACAAAACTTCAATCAGTTCAAAATGTGTGTTGATTAGAAATGTTGTTTCTTGTGCAATGACAGCAACGTTTTCATTGACGTTTCGCTTTTTATCTGATTGACAACAACTGTCAAATTACTTTATCCAGTGCGTTTGCATACGTTGCGATGCGTTCAAATGAGTTGCCTGATTTACGAATTTTGATTGGACACTTGTTTTTTGTAAACATTGGATAATCGTTTGTTTTGGTTTCGTTTTTTTTTTTGTTCTAGAGCAAATGGTAAATTTGTCAATTTAACAGCATGGCGAGCGTTTGGGATGTTTTCGCAACAACTCCCCGAACCATCAAAGTGATTTTGAACGATATCATTTCCAAGAGATATCATTACCATTTTTCCAAGAGACGATATCATTACCTTTTTATATTATAGCGTTTTTCTCCTCATTCCGGGTTGAATGAAATCGATTCACTCAGCTGGAGTGCATTTGATGTACTTATGATATTGAAAGATAAAAGATGCATTTTATTTGAATAAGTAGTTTTTATTGAAATGTTTCATGTTGTTTTTATGTTTCATTTGTTTTTGAACATTTATGTAACATAGATTCGAGTGCTTATGGATTACATGATGATGTTTGAGCCAAGGAAAGAAAAAAAATGCACTTGCAAGTTTTATTGATTTTAGATTATACAAAATACAACGGATAAAATTGTGTCTCTGTGTGTGTGGTGTATATTCATATTACTTGAATTTGTGAAATTGGCAAAACCGAAATTGATTACTGTTCTGTTCGATGCATTGACGGACTTCATTTTGTTTTAAGTTTCATGTGCTTTGCAATGCTATGTGCTTTATTTTTTATAATAATATTCACATTAAACATACAAAGTGACTTTTGCTAATCTTCTTCCTTCGCTCTCTTTCTATTACATCTCATTCTCTTTTCATTTTTTATTCGCTGACCTTTGACCTTAACATGCACAATAAGAAAATATTCATTTATTAACATTAAAACGTTGCAGCTTCTTTTTCAGCCGGTTTACAATCGACACAATAGATTTTGTTTCATTTTGTTTTTTTTTATTTTTTGTTTCTTTCATTTTATAATACAAATAACACATTGATTCTGACGCCTTCTTACAAATCATTCCATTTCGCTCTTTGCCACTTAAAAATTTACGTACAAATATAATTCATTTCACGTTTTATCTAATTTATAAATTACATGCACATGAAATGAATGACATATCATAAAATTCATTTAGTTTATTTGTTTTTCTTTTATTTATTTATTTATTTATAATATATATATATTTGTATATCTTTAATAACAATTAATGTGTGTTGCAATGAAAAATAAAATACTTTTCTTCCTCTATCTCTCTCACTTTTTCTCTCTTTTTTGGGTTAATATCATTAGCTAGAACTGGCTGAATCGAATAGTAATAGTGTTGAGAAGGGAAAAGAGCAACGAAAAACAGAATTGTTATAAGACTTAAAAAAAATGGTTTCAGATGAGATCGCAATGAAACGAACAACATCGTTTGTTTCGTATCATTCATATTTGACTCCCAGAGTGTTATAGTATATAACATATAAATCAGTAGTTCGTTTTCTTTAAGTCTTTTTTTTTTTCATTCATTTGCATGAACATATATATTCTCTCGCTAAAAATTTTCTTTTTATTTTGTTAATAATTTACGTAAAACATGTTGCACATTCGTTTCTCTACTTCCTTGCCTTTGATCTCTGTGTTATTATGACTTGTGTCGAGTTTAATGGATTCATCCATTTTAATGTCTAACTAATTAAATTTCTGTAATTTTTTTTGTTTCATAATCTACTGTCGATTTCTTATTCACATCACAAAATTCCCTTAAAATTCAATATAAAAAGTGTGTTTCAATCTTCGATTAAACTTCATTTAAAAACATTATTCGATTCCCAGTTTTTGACGGCAACGTATTCAAATACAACGATATAAGAGATCGCAAATTAAAATCAAAACTCTCATCAGATTCTATACCGAGAACAAAAAAAAATCTCATTCCACATGTAAAAATATATTTCTTTATCGAATATTCTGAGTTTGCTGTAACATTCATTGCAACGACTATATTTTTTTTCATTATCGACGATTCTTTCGGTCATGTAAGTTTTCAAAACAGAAAGAGGAGAAAAAAAATCAAGTAGTGGCAGTATCTAAGGCAGAAAACAAACTCAAGAAGAATCTGAATATGATGACTTTTTCTACATTCGCATTATTCTTTTTGTTCAAGCATCGAAAAATAAACTAAAAACTCTCTAAGAATTGTGAATAATAAAAATGGATAAATTTTCTAGTTTTGCAATATTCTCAATATCAGTATATTGTATTTGTTTTTATTTTGGGCTTGAATAACTATTTCAATAGACGAAGTACCTAGTACAAATAAACACATATGCCACTAATAGTGAAGGATCATCTCATCTTTTTTCCTCGATAGATTCGTATCAATTAAACTGTGATTGAATTTTCTCCTAAATATTTACACAATTACAGAACAAAGAAAAAAAACTAGTTACATATTGAATAAAAAGTGAAATAAGATCACATAAATTCAGTTTAAATGATTATTTTTTTTAAAAATGTTTTACTATATTTTCGTACAATATATCATTGAATGAATGGGATGTTTGTTTATAACCTAAACAAAACAATACATTTTCATTTCGGAAATAATGAACAAATTAGAGGACAACTAGAAAAAAAAATGATAATCATCAAAAAAATGCTTTATAACGAGACCAAAATGACAGGTGAAATTGCATTTCAATGACAGCAAACAGCGGTAGCAACAGCAATTATTTCAACTTAATTGTCTACGTGTAATCCAACGAAAGAAAATAAAATAATATTGTATATTAATACATGATTGTATGAAATTGCTACGCCTTTTTCCAGCCAAAGTCGCAGGCAACGATAGGACATTTATATATATATATAAAATATTGTTATTTCTTTCCGTGTCTCCTGCTTCTTCTTGTTCACTTTCGTGTTTCAAAACAGCTTTGCATAATGCATGCGATTCTCAATGCAATCTTATCGCGGTAAGCATTCAATGAATGTTCGATAAGAGCGATTCAATGAATGTGAAAACAATGTCAAATCGCATGTATAATAAATGCAGTAAACTGAGTGATCAGTCGATAGAAGGAAGTCAGTTTGTAGCCATAGAGATTTTTCGTATTGTTTTTCATTTTATTTGCACTGAGAATGTTTTCTATCATTTATTCACACACAAACTGGAAAATCCAATGTGGCGATCAATATTTAATGTTAAAACCAACCTCCTCCTCCCACTAAAAAATGGCCATTTAATTTTGTTTGGTTTTCTTTTGATCGGCAGCACATAGATTTTCGGTTACCGACCACGCACGTCGTTTTCTCGAGTGCATGGTTGCATCGATGACTTCGTTATCATACAAAGATGCAGATGATGAATTATCGGCGCTTGAAGATGGTGGCGGCGGTGGTGGTGCCATTGTTGTACTATAATTCCGTAATGAATTATCTTGCATCGTTGGTCGAATGTGATGGCCATAGACTAATTCGGTTGGATGCCGTTGTGACATATACGACGATGACATGTCAAACGATTGCGTTTGACGACTTGTTACCGCTGTTGCAGTGGCTGTAGTTAAAATGGTATGTGGCATTTGTTTACGAGAGAGATTTTGTGGTGATGTGGCCAATTCGGATGATGACGATATGGATTTTGATTGTTGTTCACGTGGTGTCAACGATATACAAACATCACCAATTTCTAGCAATTGACATTTCAATCCGTGCACGTTTGACGTTTCTTCTGGCCGAAATGATGACCATCCTTTGCCATAGACAAAAAATGGATGACTTGTCTGTGTTTCCATGCAAATCTATAGATATAAAAGAAAAGAAATTAACAACTAACGATAAGACAAATATAGAATAGAAAAAAAAATAAACGAAATTTTTCAATATAATCGAAGGTAATGAGTGTGCTTTTTTGCGATTTCACGATAAAACGTGACACATTTTGAATAAAACATTGTTTTCATTGGACTTGAAATCGAAATAAATGATCAAAACAGAAAATATATAATAAACATTTAAATGGATGGGATGGGAGTGGCCTTGCAATATCTATAAAACTGCATATTTTTGGTCAAATGAAAATGCAAATGATGATTCTATAATAATAATTTATGATCTATTGTTTTAATAAATTGTTTGTATGTGTGTGTGTCGGATTGTTGTCGTATCTCTTTGCAATTTGCAAAATTTCATTTGCCAATTTTATCCGCATTTTAATCCATGCGAATTGCAATTCGAATTCCCTGGCGCTCGTTCTCTCTGTGCGCTTGCCGATTTGTTGGAAAAACAGTGTCTATAGACAAACGAAACACGAATCTCTTCCAATTTATATATTGATTTTATTCAAAGCACGTATTAGACACGTGTTCAACATTCTGAATGGAATATGCAAACATTTTGCAATTGTTGGAAAATTATTTTATGATTCGAATGGCAAATAATAATATAAAATTGCTTGGTATCGAATTCAGTTTCCATATCGCATATGGTGGCTTGTGCCTCATTGACGATCGATTTGTGTGTGTGTGTGGGTGTGTGCATTTTGCTTGAATGCGGAAAAATGAAGATAAGCCACGCGTCAAAATTATATGAATTATTATGGAAATTGGATGGAATCAATGTCTGACCTCAATTTCCAATTTAGCCACTTTGGCAGGCTCGTTAGCTTTAACATTTCTCTGTTTATTAAATTCCAATTTCTTCAATACCCCACAACGAATCGATATTCGTGAAAATCAATGCACACAATGAACCGACGAAAGAGAGAGAGAGAGAGAGAGAAAACAAGAAACCAAATTACCTTAGTATTATTGTAGCTCAATGTGATTAGGACGTTATTTTTGGATTGTGACGTCATTTTGACGACCGTTGTGTCGATTAATTGTAGATTCGGATTTTTACTGGACGATGTAATGAAATCTTCGGTTCGCATGTCTTCGACACGCTTCAATTCACCGCTTGACAATTCGATGAGTGTACCTTTGCTGAAATTCGTTAAATTGCTGCTATTTCCCAAATTCTTATTTTTGTTGCACGCATTATTGTTATTATTATTATTGTTACTGCTAACGTTATTGTTCTTTGTTTTGACCGATGGCCTGTTAAAGAAAGATGAAACAAAAATAAAAATGAAATTAGGACATATCGATTTTTTGGGTGGTTTAAATAGAAACGCGGTGTTAATTTGAGTAAAAGAGTGTGGATATGATGACATACTTTGTGACAACTGTGTTTTGACTATGCATCGACAGTGATTGTTTTTGTGTTTGTTTCACTGTCGTTTCCTTTTCACCATATGGCCGGGTCAGGATTCGATGTTTTAATGATCCCTCTTTTCCAGAAGGTATTTTAAAATCTGCCGATTTACCATTCGATATTATTGATGACTCTTTTTCTTTGGCCTCTGTACGATACGTACTAACTGGCTTTGCTACTGATGAACTGTGCTCTGATGATGATTTCAAGTGATATTGTTGCTGTTGTTGTTGTTGCTGTTGCTGTTGCTGTTGCTGATGTTGTTGTTGCTGTTGCTGTTGCTGCTGATGTTGTTGATGATGATGATGATGATGTTGATGTTGTTGGTGCTGCTGATGCTGCTGCTGTTGCTGCTGTTGCTGGTGTTGCTGGTGTTGCTGATGCTGTTGTTCGCGTTGTTGCTGTGTAAATATCGACGGCGGTGACACTGATAACGGTGAAGCATTAGCTATATATAACAATGAAAATAATACCATGCATTAGAGTCCATTTCATAAAGAAAATCAATCACAACTGCTTTGTTTTTTTTTGCCATCGTTGTGCTTTCTCTACATACCTGGTAATACCGATTGTGCTGAGATCGAGGTATTGTTACTGTTTTGTGATGCTGATCCTACGGTTATTGTTCCGATTGGTGAATGTGGCGATAAATTGGGTCGAGCTGCAGCCGGAGGACTGTAGGCATTCGGACCGAATAAGTACGGATTTGAATATGATTCTACATGCGGATACGTTGCAACACCGTGATGTAATGGATTTCGTGCGCCTGCTAGTGCATGTGATGGTGTTGCATAAATTGAATGTCTACAAAAGAAACATACACAAAAAATGAATGTTAGCATATACATAGCAAATTTTTTTTCGTTCACAAATCATAAAAATTTATCACCAAATTTACTGCAACGATTTGAATTCAACAGAAAGCGCAAAAAAAATAGAAACTTACCCATAAACCGAACCGGTCGATGGCCTTGCATAAAAATTTTGGTAATAAAGAGATGATGCAGCATCTGGAATTGATGGCGGTTGACAATACGACAATTTGTGCTGGTAAAGACTTGCAATTGAATTACTAATCTGTTCCTGTTCACTTTCCAATGATGATGGCTTGCACAGTGCAGCTACATCGCTTGGCTTATGGCTTAACACTAATGCACCATTATCTGGCATCGATTGACTCACAGCCAAATTAACTGGTGCCGATTGGTCTAACGGCGAGTATTTTGATCGTGATGATGGCGATGACAGGCCATTTCGCAACGACTGACTGCCATTGTAACTGTTGGTTATTGAAAAAATAAACACAACAAAAAATTTCAATTAATATTGTTTTGCATTGTTATTTGCAAAATATTTTAATATAGATAAAAATTCTATTGTAATCTATGACAAAACACCCTGCAGAGTTACAGGACAAAAAAAAACATTGGACGAGAAATGAGAAACAAAAAAGACTCCTTACCGATTTGGTTTTGGATGGGGTCGTACAAACTCTGTAGCTGACATAGGCGTTGGTAGAGCGACAATCGGACACGGAGCTGCAATTAAATTACTATTCGCACCAATTGCAGCGGCACTGTTATTGTTATATGGATGTGCTCCCGTCGCGTATAACCTGCTTGGTCCAAAATGATTTTCAACAGCAGATAACATCGGACAAACGATTATCACACATTTACTATAATTGAATTGTTAAATAAACAAGCCGCCTCAAAAACACAGACAAAGTTTATTAACGCCTTTTCTCTCACTCTTTGGATCACTCTGATCAAACACCAAAATACAATTGATTTCTTTTTTCTTCTTCTTTTTGCTTTGCTTTTGTGTAATTTTTTAATTTAACGGTTTTTCACTTGGTGACCGTCGACGATTTTTCACTTCAATAATATATCAATGTGAGATTGTCACGGAAATAAACACTTGGTATTTATATTATTAAAAATTATTGTTGGCAGACAAATTGCAGGTGTTTAACTTATCGTATTCCACTCCCACTTCAATGCGACTTCTCGACAATTCTTTTTCGATCTGTAAATAAAAAGAAGATAAAATTGGTTAATATTATTATTCAATGTCATTGCCATAAAAAAAATGATGAATGTGCTTCAAAAATCAGTAAAAAAAAGTGTTATTTGAAGAGAAAAAAAATCGATTGAACTTTATCATTCAATTAGATATGATTTATTTTGGTGATAAAAAACGGCACCGATGGAGAATTCCACCGTAAATTTCAATGAATATTTTGAATAAACTGATTATGTATTAAAAATAAACGAGTAAAGAAGTGAAGCGCGCACATAAAATTGAATGTCACCGAGAACTAAGTTGACACACGATAAGATAGGAGGGGAAAAAGGCAAAAAATATATAATTTTAAGCGATACGGTTGGTGTTTCTTTACTTTCTTTCCCTCTTTCTTGCGTCGACAACAACAATACTGCTTCGACAAAACCGCTGGGTTGTGTGTATCAAAGTTTTTCAAGTACCATAGGCAACACACAAGAGTGTCACTTTCAATGGAAACGCCCGTGAGAAGAAAACTTTGTATCACACCAATAATATAATTAATCAATCGATGTGATGCAATTGATACGAAACAACACAAAACTCTTGATTGATATTTTGTGCGGGTAGAATGAGTGCAAATGATTGAATGAGAAAAGCAGGCAGCGAAAAAAAAAATTACAGGTGAAGAGGAACAGACACAATTGCCAACGTATAATTAAATTCATTCCTTTATCAGCAAGCGGTACGATAATTACGTCAAACCGTGTGATATCAATTTGCAATCACCAAAGGCAAAAAAGCTCCATGCCGAGCATGTGTACAAACAAAGTAGCAATTATTGTTTATTCTGGATAAAACCTGCTGTGATTTATCAAAAAACAAAGAAATCATTTAAGATTTGCTCTAACACACTGATCTCCATTCATGTTTATGGAATGATCCACGTTTTCAATGAACGACATTGATAACACCAAAAAAAGAAAAGAACACCGGGCTACGTTTTATATTCAATTTCCCACCATTCACCATTTCGTTTCATTGTTGCGGGAAATAGATAAAACACGTCGAACATTATCTGTCAATGTTCGCAATTGTTTTCACTATCCATCCATTAAACGGAATTGTAATTACATTGTTAAACGGGAAAATAAACAATCAAACGATAAAACACTGTTCAAATAGTAGAAAATAACATGAGAAGAGAGAAAAAACGACCGAAAATAATATAGAAACCACCACTCATGATTTTATAATCTTGAGCACGTTTTTTTATTGCATTTGTCGCAAGCGAAAAAGTGAGTTGATAAGGAAAAAGTCAATAAGGATTTGTATAGAGCTTGCATTTTTTTTTCACGCTGCCGCTTTGCTGATGACTTTCGAACATTCTACGTATTTTTTCGAGTATGATTTGATCCGTATTATTATTAAAAGGGGTATTTGACTCGATTCACAACTCGTAAAACTCAATAGGTGCGCATTTTATTCTTTTTATTTTGTAAAAAATCGAAATTGTTGTACGGGCTTTCGTGCAATGCACAGTCAACAATTATCCGAATCGATTGTAAACAATGTATAGAGTTCGATAGCTTTGTAAATGTACATTTTCATTGAATATTTCAGTAGGAGAATGAATATTCATAAAGTTTGGCCTGCCACCACGCGATCGACAAATACACAATTTTACAAATATATATTCTACGGAAAGTACACGATGACGTTTTAACGTTTCTTTTTTTTGAAGAAATACCAACTTCAATATAGTAAATTATGTCAATTGTTTCAATTATTAGTGAAATAAAAAGAGCGAGATTGAATGAGACGGAAAGTGCCTTTATTCTGAAACCGAATACATCGCATTCCTTATTTAAAATATTCCGTATAATTTGAATGAAAAATTATAGAAAAATTCACTATCGTATATTTTTCACGTAGATTGCATTCCATTTTTCTTGTGCCATCCAAAAATACGTTGGTGGAAGCAGAATAAAATATATCTATATGTATAAATATCGCGCACGTTCAACATTTATCCAGCAAAAGAAAAGTTGAATGCTTATTATTTGAATAGAAAGCCAGACCAAGAACGGGGTGTGTGTGTGTGCGAGAGAGAAAACTGAACCGAATAAATAATGGAAATGTTTACAAAAGGAATAAAAGAAAAGCGGTTCTCAAGGTCATGAAGTTTAATAAATCACATGCCATGACGTCATAGCTTCGTTATACTGTGTTTGGTTGGTTTTGCTTGTGTCGCGCCAGCCGATTCTCATGAAAAATAGGGAAATTCACACACACTCACACAAATGAGACATTCTGCCGAAACGCACACACTCACATCATCATCCATACACACACATAATAAAAGTCACACAGTGTGGCTGCCACCGAGAAAATGAACGAAAATAAAAGCGACGAAAAAAGGGGGCCGCTTATAAGATATATATCGTATATTTTGGCGTAGAAACAGAACTGGAATGCAGTGCGCATTAAAACTGAATGAATGAAGCCAATTGTATACACACATCGAGTGAGCACAGTGTCGTTGCATGGCGAAACGCGAACGGCTGCTTATGAATGGGAGTGTTTTACAAGGAAAATGTGAACAATATGTATAAATTATTGGAATCGCATTGTAAATGCCAAGTTGTTGTTTTTTTCTACTCTCTCTCCTGGTTCGTTTGTTGCTTTGCTTTGCTTGTTGTACACCGTAAGGGTTTTACTTTGCTTGTTTGTTTGCATATGGCATTTCTCTTCTCTTTTTTATTGTTGCCGCTGTTGATGTTGTTGCTGGAATCAAATGGAATAAAAATGTGTTCGCAAAACATACAATTCCAACAAAGTGTTCGTCGGGCGACTATTCAAACATACACACACAGAGGGAGACCTGCAAATGATTATATTTCGATACTAATCACTTCAATTTACCACCATCGTCGTTAGCACAATTTTTGTTTTATTATTATTGTTTAAACACATTAGAAGTACTATTTTTGATTGTTATCAAAATAATAAACATCACGCAGAAATAGACAGCGAAAGAAGACGATGAACAAACATAGTAAATGTATAAAAAAAGTCTTACGCACGTACGATTATCACATATATCGCATCGTCTGAGAAATGAAACCAACAACAAGCACAACAAACAATGATTGTTATACGTTTTGACGAAAATAAATAATATATAAAAAACGCAGCTTGTACATGATTGTGCACGCATTTATTTATTGATAAGAAAATTCCGCGAAATTAACGATTCAAATCACAGACGTTTGAAATGCCACTTCGTTTTGTTGCTACGTTTTTTTTTCTTCTTCTTCTTTCATGTAAACTTAAAATAGTAATAACAATAATATGTGGAATGCATATGTATGACATCGAGTGACATCGCGCGACTAAAATGACAAAAAAATAAATAATAATAATGAACTTAGTGTTTTTATAGCGGATAATTTACAACCGTATATAAATTGCATACACAATGTATGGCATCGTACGCTTCGATTGCTCGTTTCATTTATGTGTTCAAAGTGTTCATTTTTTTTTATTCTTAAATTCATTTTTATTAGCTCATTTAGAATTGAAAGTTAAACAAATGATAATTATTTTTTTCTTTACACATTTTTTGAGACACATTGAGAATCTATAATAGTCATATAATTGCGTCGTTCCTGTACCGGGCTCGCGTATCAGCTAATTTAAATTCTTAGACGCTGACATCAGCCAAACACGGTGTGTTTGTTTTTATTTTACAATTTCAATTAAAAATGAATAGATAGAGGGCCGAATAAAGGTATAATATATACGTGCGAAACGTGAACGAAATTGAAACTACACACTATCGAAACACACATTCGAGCCACAATGGATTTATCAGTTCCGTTCCGTTGTATTCGGCGGCTTAGACGCTCTCTGAATGAGACATAATCACCGAAGAGAACAAAAGAATTTAAAATAACATCAAAATGAACTGGCAAACAGATAGAAAATAGGCGACGACAACGAATACAAATACGATTGAAAAGAGGACAAATGAATACGGTATAAAAGTCTCGACGAAATATATATATATTTTTTTAGAAGCGGCTACTATAATACACACGCGCGCGCATTCAAGCACCTTTTCATCGCCTTTGCATAGCCTTATGTTTGTTAAATATTTTACCGAAAGGAAAAACAAAATACACACAACACACGTAATGAAGAAAACGTGCGACAGTGTGTAGACTCTTTTTTGTTCGTTGTCATATCGCTGTTGACGTGATTGTTATTGTTATGAAATGTAGTCGGTTTCCTATGGCTGAATAAATCAAGAACGAAAAAAAAATGAAGAGCGAGCAAGAGAGAGAGACGTTGCTTTTCGTCGACGCACATCAATTGACTCGTAACTATATATATTATGGTCGTTTGTGTCGTGCGAAAAATGTTCGTGCGAAATTGTCGAATGGCCGGGTTGCCTGAGTGATGTAGTAAGTCATTGGCTTTCGTGTATTGGCATCGTTAATTTTTGCGCGTACGCAAAAAACCTCTCTCTCACTCTTTGCGAATCACTGGCGTACATACGGGTTTTTTTCTGTTTCATTTTTTAAAATGTTAATTAACGTGAATGGGCGAAGTGACGCGATTCAAAATCACACACCGCGTATACATACTATCCCTCACCGTATTCTCGCCTCACTAGCATTTATAAACTCGACTCCTATTTTTATCAATGTTTTCTTACATGCCAGATTGGATCTTTTTTTTATTATTATTATTATTGAGGTATTTTTATGCATTGCAGCGCGCGCAACTTCACCCAATGATTTATTTTTCGATTGCAAATTATTTTTGGCATGGGAAAAAAGCAATGTTTTTTGTAATTCGATACGTTGATGTTGTATTTTCATTGTTTGTGCAAGACAAATTGGAATTTGAACAGTGTACATCTCAAAGATGAAGCAGGAGAGAGGAAGAGATAGGGCGAAAAACAAATCGGCAATCGCCTGATTGTCGTAATTTCAACTACATTTTGAAGCCAGCAT